CCACTTTACTTCCTGGACACAGGTCTAAAGCAATGAGACAGCAATTCACAGACCAGAACTTCCACACCATGAGCCAAAGTCAACCTCTTCCCAATTAAGTTAATCATGCCAGCTGTATCATCAATGTGAGGGAAACATGAATAACACAGAAACTGTAATCAACGCTGGGAGCTAAGTCGGCATTTGAAACTCTTTCTAGAACTTAGTCACTCTTAACTTGAGTGTTTACAGTGATCTTACCGTGGTGCCACTCCAGACTAAGTTCTCGGTAGTGACATGGAGCATCTAATTCTGCATGACTCTCAAGCAGTCTGGAGAATTCAGCATTTAGAGGTTAATTGCCCAGATTCAAATAAATGGCTTCGTCTCTGAAGAAAAACAAAACACAACATTTGCCTGTCAGGGATGTTTGTAATAAGAGTATTTTTGCAGTAATTCATGTCCACCCTCACGTGTCACAATCACTCACCCACTGCAACTATCTCCTCCAATGTGACACATTACTCATTTTTCCTTAGACTATGGAAACTGTCCAATCAGTGTAAAATTATCAAGAATGATATCATAAAGACCTGTGTCAGTTATTCCCAAATGCAACAATTAGCTGGAAGAATTGGAGGAATATCTCATTCATAGCTTCATATCCTACCCACCCTCCAGATTATTCTGAAACAAAAATGCAGATAACCAAGTAGATATGTAGCTAATTCAATATACCCTGCTCTAAAACAAAGGACTTTCTAATATAAGGCAGCCCATTAGAGTACCTACTAATAATAATTTCTCTCTAATATCAACTACCAAACATTGCTCCAATTTCCAAGCACTTTTTTTTTCTTTTTTCTTTTTGGTTTTTTGAGACAGGGATTCTCTGCATAACAGCTCTAGCTGTAGACCAGGCTGGTCTCAAACTCACAGAGATCTACCTGCACCCATACTTCTGCCATATTCTTGATATTTCCCTTGTCTTTGGATCATAGCATCTTTTCTCCCTCACAGTACATAAAACCCGTATTACAAACTCTTATTGGTACAGTCACACACTGCATAATACCTTATAAGACTTAAACTAGGTTTTGCCTTCTCTTTCAGGACAACTCACAAAACTGATAACTACTGGGGTAAAAAGTTGGAGAACCAATACAGCTGCAGGCCCGGCAAGATGGCTGAGTAGGAAGATGCTTGTCCTGAGAGCCCAATGGCCTGAGCCAGACATTTAGAGCTCATGGAGAAAACCAATTCCTATGGCCTCCACACATGGGAGGTGGCACACATGCACATCACAGACTCACTCACAAATAATAAGGGAAAATTGTGTAAAAGGGAGAAATAAACCCAACTCAGAGAGCAAAAGCAGGATGCTGCACTGTAAGGAACGGGCTCCCATCCTGCCTCACTCCCGGCTGCTCTGCTGTCGAGAGGCAGCAAGCTTTTCCAGCACTTACTCTGTCATCAGCTCTCATGTCCAGCATTGTCCCCTGAAACTTTCAGCACCCTCGGCAGACACAACCTTTCCACCGTCAATTTCTCACTTTCGAACAAATGTGTGACTGCCAGGAAAGTATTTCATTAAGATTTCTCTGGTTCTCCTTGCTGTTTATATTTTTACCAGAACTGTAGTTTGGGGAGATGTCTGTATCCAAGGGTTTTTTATTCTTTGGGGGTGGGAGAGGGATGTGCCAGCTTTTCTGCATACCAATCAGCTATCTCTCTTGTCTCTCTACATAACATTTCACGTAGGATTCACTGATGTGGAGAACATTTTTTTTTCCTTTAAGAAGAGTAATTTTAACTATTAATTTTATAATGTTGCTTTTGAGACAGTGAAGGTTATGTTAACTGCCCGTGCTCAAGCTGTACATGAGATCAGGGCCCTGGTTTTTTTGTTTTGTTTTGTTTTTTTGTTTTTTTAATTTTAAGAGGTCAGATAAAGGAGGCCAGTTGGTATTTGACAGACCTAAAGAGAATTCTGTACACAGGTAAAGACAGGGGCTTGACAGGCATGACTTTCACCTGAGGAGGGAGGGATGAATGTTAGACGTGCAGTAAACAAAGACAACAGTGGCCCAAAGGACAGCCTTCAGGCCTAGGCGATGGAGATCCAGGAACTGGAGTGGACCTCCAGACAACACTCTAACTCTCCTTTCCCAAAACAAGTACAGCACAAATGCCAGAGATTTAATCATCTTTATTTCAGTGAGACATTTGAGGTGTATCTCCATGATACGCATTCATGTAGGAAATGATAAGTAATTAGAGCAAAAAATGAACAGAGGAGGAAGTTGAGGGCTGCTCATTAACATCCTCTCAGTATTTGTGCACTTGGGATTCATCAAAATTCAGAGGGAGGAATAAAGGCGCTCCTCAACACATGGCGGATTTGGGCTCAACGTTAAGAACAACTTGACTGTTTACTGCTAATGAAAAGTCCACCTGGTGAAGGATTCAGAGTCCCTGGTGACTGAGCTTTTAGGCAAAGGTTGTTAAGAATACTGGCTGGAGAGATGGCTCAGCCATCAAGAGCAAGTGTTGCTCTTATGAAAGACCAGGGTTCAATTCCTAGCACCTACAAGGAGACTCACAACCATCCATAACTCCAGTTCTTGGAAATCCAATGTCCTCTTCTGACCTCCAGAGGCACCAGGCACACATGTGGTATGGATACATACATGTAAGCAAAACACTCATAAAAAAAATAACATGAATAAATCCTTAAGCATTCCTATACAATGTTATGGAAAGGGATTTTTATTTTTTATTTTTTTATTTTACTTAAGCATTCCTATACAATGTTATGGAAAGGGATTTTTATTTTTTATTTATTTTTTTTGTGGGGTCGGGGTTGAGACAGGGCCCCACTAGCTTAAAAGAAAAAAAAAAGATTAGGGTAAATTACTTGGATGATGATTCCAACTTGAAACTCTAAATTTAAACTTCAAATGTATTTTATATTGTTCTTGAATACCAAACATGTGGTAACCTCGAACTGTATTGTGCTTCAACCAAAGGCAGAAATGCATTACAAGACATCAAATCTGATCTATCTGATCTACGACTAAAATTATCCTGGATCCCTGCAAGGTCTCATATAATGATGCAAAACAAAACAAAATGAGGGGCAGGAAAGATGACTAGGAGGTTAAAGGCACTTACTACTCTTCCAAGGACCTGAGTTCAAGTCCCCACCCTGGCCTGTATCTCCAGCTTCAGGGCTCTGTTGCCCTCTTCTGGCCTCCACAGGCACTGCACCCACATAACAGACACACATACCCGTAAATAAAAATATAAACAAATGTCTTTTCAGAGTTACATCAGCACTCTACAGTCTTTGAGAGTAAGCAGGCAACAGTGCTCACATCCACTTGTAATCATCACAGCTCTTACGTGTGACGTCCAAACCAATATGGGAAACACAAACTGCAGCAATCTGTTTAATCCAAGGACTTTGTGAGTACACCCAATCACAAAGAATTAAGTGGACAGTGAACACATCCTATGAGTCAGACTGGTAAGAAATTACTAAGATGAAAACTTTACGGCAGCTTTGCCACACATTTAAGTGCCAAAGAAGTGACTCATACAACTACTAGTGACTGTATCATAATTCAAACTTCTAGTCACTTTTGGACTTTTGTTGACTAGAAATGCTATGGTTTTTATAACTTCTTAAAAATTATCTATTTTTACTTTTATGAGCATTAATGTTTTACCTGCATATATGTTTGTATGAGGATGTCGGGTCCCCTGGAACTGAAGTTACAGACAGTTTTGAGCTGCCATGTGGGTGCTGGTAATTGAACCTGGGTCCTCTGGAAAAACAGGCAGTGCTCTTAACCTCTGAGCCATCTATCTCTCCAGCCTCAGTTTTTCATAACTGTTTAAAAGTGGGTTTATATTTAAACTTTTGAATGGCACTATCACCTTCCATCAGGTTTCAACTTTTGTTACATTTATTGGTGGGGGGTAGGGTCAGAAGACAACATGCAAAGTTGGCTCTCTCCTTCTACCATGTGAGTCTTAGAGATCCAATGCAGGCTGTCAGTCTGTCAGTAAGCACCTCGACCCACTGAGCTATCTTGCTGGCCCCGAAGTTCTAATCTGAAAAAATATGGAAACAAATTGTGCTGAAGATAATCTCAGATTATAGCACACAACCTGCTAAGGATGCTGTATAATGATCTGAGCTAGCATAAATCTCCTGCTGACAAAGCAACGTCCTCAGAAGGTAAATTTGTCAACATTCTGCTGATTTTGCATTTTTTAGCCAGAACAGTGGTGTCATAGTACTTGATCTAAGAAAAGCAACCAGCAGATTTTCCATTCACAATGTTAGGGAGTCCTCTAGAAATATTTCATTATTTAACCAAATCAGAACATAACCAGTGTACACATTTTCTTAAGTACTAATGAATGAATACATATTTTTGGTACAATTTTCCTATCATATTTCTATGTTAGCACAAGAAAAAATGGCATGAGATCAAAAATATATCAATAAAAATATTCTGTGTCCCCATCTAGTCTTAAGAACAAGGGAAAACCTTTGGGGGTATATGCAGAGGAATCCTAGTAGGCATCAACACAGAACGTGTCTCCAACTCATAACTGTCCATTTGCCCCCAACTTCTAAAACTCTACGGCAATAACAGTACTCCACATAAACTGGCAGGAACCACACACTTGATAAATGTCTATAGACTAGAACCATCGGTGGAGAATGTGGTGAACAAATAAAATCACTCCCCTTCCTAACTAATGCTGCGACCATTTAATACAGTTCCTCATGTTGTGGTGACCCCCAACCATGAAATTATTTTCATTGCTATGTCATAACTGTAATTTTGCTGTTATGAATTGCAATGTAAATATCTGTTATTCAGGATATCTAATATGTGACCCCTGTGAAAGGGTCTTCACACCCAGAGGTCGTGACCCACAGGCTGAGAACCACTGCACTAGCGTGTACCACTTATATTCTAATGAGCATCTTCTAAACTTAGCACTGTGCTTCAATACATACGAGACAAACACAGGGAGTCAAGTTTGGGTTCCAGAACCCACATTCTAAGGCTCACAACCATCTGCAACTACAGCTCCAGGATCTGACATCTCTGACCTCCTCAGGCACTGCACTTATGTGTATATAGCCCCATAGATAATACACATGAATACACACACACACACACACACACACACACACACACATATATATATATATATTTAAAAATAATTAAAATACACAGTGGCCTAACTTTATGGAGTTGTAAACATTGATACAACCATCAACTATAAAGTAAAATTCCATCTTTTAGGAAAGGGATATGGCTTCATGGGTAAGAGCACTTTCTGTACAAGCAAGAGGTTATAA